AAGGCCTAAAATAATTAGTTTGGAAATTCTTATTTCTATTGATGCTACTAACACCACTCATAGGAGTAGGCCTGTAGGAAGGTCCTTGATTAGGCGGATTACGCCAAACATTAACATTAGGTCTATTGCCAAAAACTTGTGCGTTTGTTGGAAATTTTTGTGGAAGAGGATTTTGTCTAGGTTGAATCGGAACTGGTCCTCTTGGGAATTGAGGCTGATAATTGAAATTTTGCTGAGGCCTAAATTGATTCATAGGCTGCATTTGAGGCTTAAACAAATTTTGAAAATGTGGTTTGGATGGAAGGGCAGGCTGAGGTGGCTTATTGAAATTTGAATGTGCACCAGCCTTTTGTAAATATCTAATGTTATTATCTTCTAAAATATAAGCTTGAGCTTCTGCCAAATTTTTAGGTTTCATCGACCGAATCATGGAACTTTGTGGCTCCTTTAAACCTACTAAAAGTGTATGCAATGCATGACTATCATACAGTGCCTTTTTACTTGTTTTAATAGCATCAACTGTTTCATGAATATTTATATAGTTATGCAAATGATTCAGCATGGTTACAACTCTAGAATAAAACTGTAAGGAGCTTTCATTAGAATTTTGTCTAAGGGCAGTCATATCTGAAATAAGACTACTCTCGTTTCTTTGATCACCAAAATGAGCAATTAGCAAATTTTTTTATGCTGTGCCAGTCTGTGGAACCGCTAAGAGAAAATACTTGCTCTGCAGCACCAGTCAATTTCGAGAAAATGCCATGCAGCAGTATTTTGTTTTGGACACATACTGTATCGTCAGTGTTCCAATAGTTATTTAATAAATCTGTACTTATTTCTAAATATCTATATAGTCTACAGGGATTTCCATCAAATTCTGGGACAATTTGGAGTAATTTTATGTCGAACTGGGGGGTACTATTTCTACTGGGGGTCGTCATTATTCTTTCTATAGTTTCGTTTGCTTGTCTTATTTCTCTACGTCCTAATTCTAAGCTTGCTATGCGATTAGCGATTTGATCTGCACTATCACCTTCGAAAGGATTTACAGGTCACTCATGAAAAAATAAGGATACAATGAGCACTTACTGATAGGTCCAGTACTTCATCCCGTTCTTGGCCTAGGTTCCTCAGGTGGACGTTGACTTCAACAGGACAAAGGGCACTTGTGGTCCAAATTCTTTCTTCTTTCTTCAGTCGTACCGGCCGTCACGGAGGTTTGTGATTCCCAATTAAGAGTTCGGACTCAAAGGCTAATCGGCGAAAATCCCTTTGGGAATCCTACTGACTGCGCCAATTATGTAGTCGGAACTTCAAACTTCGTTTTTAAAAAAACTTTATTTGATTCCAACACTAGTTTACATGGACCGAACCGGAATTACAGTGTGTATGTTCGCTGTGACTGAGATTGAATGACTGACTCATAATTAAGATACAATCGTTAATATAAACCAAAAGTGATGAGCTAGTAAAAAGGAATACAATGCAATTATTATATTAATTAATAAAGTGCTAAATGACGGCAACATAACTCAAGTTACGACAGGTGGGGTGTGACAAACCCCAAATATAGACAGGCTTTTTATTTACTAGTTTTGTTTGTTTTATTACTTTCATGATTCAAATATCATTTAACATTGAATATATTAATACTACTCGTATAACAACAAAAAAAATCAATCTGAATATACACATAACGAGTTTATTTGAAATTACATTTTTTTTTATTGGAACATAGGAACAAATTTCTAATTTCAAATAAAAATTAAAAAACTTGCAGTATATATTATATTTTTGCTAAACATGAAAGAAAACAATCTACACTTTTATACAGAGAAAACCGAATAAGCCTAAATGGAACAGAAACATTTTTATTCATTGCTAACTTCAGCACAATTTTTACAAAACTTAAGCGCATGTTCAAGGCAAATAAATGTTTCACAGGTCTGACAAACGTATCTGGTCTTTCTGTCTTTAGTTCGGGAACATTCTGAACACCTCCCTTGTTGATTTGGTCTCATCTTTTTCGATGCAGGTTCAGGATTTTCACCCAATATTTTCCGAATATTCCCTCTTAGCTCCCTTGTTAGCCTAGGGTTTGTCATTCTACTTCTTTGAAATACCTCTGCCAACTGCATACCCAACTGCTTCAAGAAAATTCTTCTTGGTAATTTGTTGTTAGTGTTCTCTCTATATATAATATAACTGTTAATGCCTGCAGTATTTAGTAGGGAAAAAAATAAAGTTAAAGGCCAACGTCGACTATTCCTCGAAACATTGTATGATGCAGATAACTCGTCTACTACATCAACGCCACACTTGGTAAAGTTATAAAAAGATATTATTTCTGGAAGTTTTTTCTCTGACTCATCTACTGCATCATCATGATGTAAAGAAGATAATAGCAGTACAATTTTGTTTTTTTTCGGGCATTAGCTAACCAAAGTATATCCTTCCTGGAATCCAAATAAGCTAGAATGAACTTCTCGATTATTCACATTCAAAAAAGGTGCTGGTAGACATGGTTTATTTTTCCGTATAGTTCCCACCGCAGTCAGTTTGTGATCCTTGCGTAGATTTTCTAAAAGCTGAACACTGGTATACCAATTGTCGAAAGTAATGTTACGGTTCGTTCCTGAGACTGGAGCCACTAAGCGGCTCACTATGTCCTTAGGACTATTGCTGACATTAAATACTCCATCGGGTTGCTTCCCCACATAAACTTCCATATTGAGGAGATAATTCGTTCGCGCATCTACTAAGGCGTGTATTTTTATGCCGTATTTTGCCGGCTTATTTGGCATGTATTGTCTGAAGGAGCACCTGCCACGAAATGACTCCAGTTTTTCATCGATTGTAAGATACTGAGACGGCGAATAAGCCTTCTGACAGTTGTCAACAAATCTATCGCAAACAGCTCTAATAGGGGCCAACTTATCCAATTTAACCCTATCTTTGCGATTATTTTTGTTGTCGAAACGTAAACAGGAAATGAGGAATTCAAATCGCCTTTGACTCATAGTAGCCGGAAATATATCCATACCAGTACCATCGGTATTCCATAGCTCATATAAAAATCGGTGGTTATTTTTGAAAACTCCTGATAGGTACAAAAGGCCGAGCACTGCTTTAATTTCTGCCGGATTGGTTTCTCCATAATGGGGAGATTCCTTCCATTTCTCAGATTTTTCTATGATTCTTAGATTCGTATTTTTAACTATATCTACGATCATTACCTCATCAATAAAGAGGAAAAAGCATTCAAGTGGAGTTTTAGCCATTTTTGCATGGTTTTTAACTCCTGGAAGATGGGTTATTATGTTTTCAGATCTAGTTCGAACATTCCTACTAGGGCACTCTTTGAACCATTTCATCCGGTTTTTTCCAAGAAAGAAACTACGTGTGTCCAAGACCTCGGCTTGTGTTTCATCGCCTTGATCTTCTACAACTTCAGGATTTTGCTCCAAATCGGGATAGTCGCTGCAAACACTTTATCTATTTCATCTTCTTCTTCTGAATCGTCTCGATCGATCGCTTCATCTTCATTCTGTACTTCCTCCCAAAGTGCCCAAAGCCTACGTTGCTCCTTCTCGTAATCGCCCATATTTTTTTATAGTTCTGAAATACTGTTTAAAAATGTAAAGTTTTAATTAAAGAGTTATATAAAATGCGACTTACCTTTATAATCACGACAAAATGTGAAATAAAACAACTGCAAAAAACTTCCGAGTTCCGACACGTGGGGTATGACAAACCCCAAACAATCCTATGACGATACTACTCACTAGGCGTCAGCAGACCAACTGCCGCATGTGGCTCGTATTACTTATTGGAGTGTCCTTGAAAGCTACTGAGGCGCTGCCAGCAGTCGGCGTGAAATTTTAATAGATAACTTGTAAAATCCGATCGTTGGGGTTTGTCACACCCCACGTGTCGGATGCCGGGTTAATCAAATGTACTAGGGGTTTACTAATAGTGTATAAAGCCTGTTCCAAGAGAAATCCAGGAATTTCATCTGGACCGTTGCGCAACGAGATTATATAATAAAGTTTGACGAAGGAAGGCGTTAAACCGTGTGAGATTTTGGCTCGGTTGGAGGCTCAGTATGGGGATGATACCCTGTCTAAAACTCAGATATTCGATTGGGCCAAAAAGCTTAAGAGTGGACGAGAACGTGTAGAACATGTGACTCATAATCGACGTCCAAGATCAAGTGTCTCTGGTGACGAAATTGGTGCTGTTCGTGACTTTATTGAAAGTGACAGGCGGCTAACTACTCATGACGTCGCTTTAGGGCATTAGCTATGGAAGTGCTTAAACAATCAACAAAATCTGTGCTCGATGGGTGCCGAAGTTGTTGAGCGAATCAATCATCATGGGTGCATCATTACACTCTCGAGTCCAAGATGGCGCGTGAAGAATGGCGAAGGAAAGACGAAACCGGTCCAGTGAAAGCCAAAACCAGTCTCTCAGCAGGTAAGTTCCTCGCTACCATCTTTTTCGACTGCAAGGGAGTGTTGCTCAATGATTTTATACACGACCGACTTACGGTTAATGCTGCATAGTACTGCCAGCTGTTGGAGGCAGCTAAAGCTGCATACAGACTCAAAAGACGGTTTCCCCATCAGAAATGTCATCCCCCTTGATAATGAAGGGCCACATACAGCCGCTGAAACGAAGAAAAAACTAGAGGATATGCATTGGGAAACTCTTGAACAGCCCAGATTTGTCACCCTTTGACTATCATTTGTTTGCGTCCATGAAAGATGCACTTGGAGGATTGCGAATTACTACGAGGGACTGCTGAAATCCGGTCCGTATGCCGGAGGAGGACGCTTTGTTTTTCAACAAAGCCAAATCAATACGTAATATTAGATTTAGTGAGCTAATCAAAACAAAATAATCTTTTCATCAAAAAATGGGGGGTTTTTAATCCTCCTGACGGAAATTTAAGTTTCTTGATCTTTGAAGATGCGGTCGGGAAAAAAACTATTTATTCCAAAATAACTTTTATTTCATCATTTTTGCTGACTACAAACTAGTAGTTACAGTTGATACAGTAAAAAATACATGAACCTAGTAGTTAAATGGTAGAGATACTACTTTACTGGCAGTATTATTACATTTTAAAATGGTAACTTTTCTCTATCAACATTGGTAGTTCACTGGTAATAATATATCCTAGCTAGATTAGTCATAATATAAAATTAATCCGCGGCATACAAAAAATATAAGTTATCGAATTTTGTATACTTATGAAGATGAAGTTGATTATATAAATGGCCAGCATGAGGTATTTTACCGTGGGCTAAGTAATGCAATGATACAACTGGTTGTACTACACGTTTTATTGGTTATTTCTAGATTATCAAGAATTTTATAGGCATTACTTGCATTCGAGGTATTTCCATATTTAGTATAATCGCGTTACACCTAATATATAAATATCAAAAGTTTAAAAACAATATCACTCGCATCACACTTAAAAGAAAAGATAGTATTTACAAAGATGTGTATACATATGACGACTATATCGATTAGAACGTTTAATCCAGATTTGTCCATTTTTATCGGAACTCCCCAGATACATTTAATGAGATATATTTCTTGGTATTATAATAGAATAATGCTTTCTACAATTTTGTTAATCCCTCTCGAAAATATACATATACTAAAAAAAACTGGGAAAATTTGATTAGCAGATAGAGGAACGATAGGTTTTTTTAGAAGACATCTAATATAGAAGATAAATAACATAAATTGATTATATCAGGAAATACTTAAGAAAAAAGATAACTTGTTAATTTGGAAGAAAGCTTTGTATGTATATAATTCTGGTTTATCTTGAACAAACAAACAAAATATGTTACAAAAGCAATAGTCAATAGAAATGGACAAGGCTGATAGTTCACAAAGTATAGGGAGCAAATATAGCAATTCCTTCCAATAATTTTAACGCACAGAAACAGACCATTTGTCATGATACTAATATGTATCTAACATGAGATTGTATAGTAACATTAAGCTAAGTTATCCATCGTAACAAAAAAGAAGTTATATGTAAGTATATAGGGCATTTTTAGACAAAATGATAGAAATGACATTGGCCACATTCTGTGCATAAAAATGTGTAAAATTCTTTCATTCATTTTGTGTTGATAGTTTCTCAAAAAACCATGGGAGCAAAATACAGGGTGGCCTAAACATTAACAGGTGGCAATATCGTGCATCAAGAGGCTCATAAAGAGTATATAGTATATTTAATATTGTATTTCACCGTTGAGGGATACCAAAAAGCTTTATTTTTTTAAAATAATGCACAATGAAACTATCAATAATATGTTACGCGTACGATACTGTATTTTATACCATGTATGGATAAACTGCTTCAAAGTAAAAATACTTATACCTTACACCATATAACTGTGATGATTAGAGCACTCGACGTTGAAAAAGACAGAGGTTTAGAACATTTTTCAGCAGCGAACACAGATAAAAAAGGCAGACGTTGAAAACTGTGTATCTACTTTACATGAATCGCATTTACTGTAGGCTGTGAGGTTATGGAAAAAAGAAGTAACAGGGCGCTTCATCACATAGTTGTACTGCCAAATGAATTTTATTGGGTTATTATATCTACATCAGAAAATCCATTTTAATTTACATTATCCTGTATAATCGTTCGATGTTTGAATACTTGAAGGGTACAGGGAGAAAAAGATGAATGTCACAAATTTGGTATTTTGTAGTTAGAACAGGCATGAGGTATCGAAAAGACGCAAAAACAATGACAGTTCGTAGTTGAATTGAAATTGAAAACTTGCCGTGCAGAGAAAAAAGATGGATGTCACAGCCGTTGTATGTATAAAAAAAGATGAACGTTCACTGATCCTCACCGAAAGTATTTGCCATACACCAATCTGCGACGAGAGAAATAAACGTTAAGTAATCATTTTTAAGCAGTTATCATTAATTTTGTTTTGTTTGTTCTATATTCTTTTGAATAAAGATTTTTTTGGTTCATTGTTTTTTCCTGTCCCAATTGAAAAATTACTTATAAATAATTGTTTGAGCTATTGAGGTTGAAAAATTTCTCATGTTTTAGACCCTGTGTAATAAATTTTCTGTTAAGGCAGTTTTCATATTAGAACAGATTGTAGAACCTAGGATAGGCATTTTGCTGGTTAATCAACCCTTAGATTTTACAGGGTGCCGCATATGACGAAAGGCTCATTTCTAGCCTCAATTCAGGCATGGACGTTGACACAGAAAATCATCAGGAGAATCTCAAAATACAAAAATGAAAAGGATTTTCCATTAAAAAATGTTTGGTCTGGTTTCACTTTGGGCTACCTTGTATATCAGTAGATATGTTTTTATTCATAATTTAACTTTTTTTAAATTTCTTATAATAAGGAATCTATGGTACTCCGTCAGATCTACCTACCCAGTACAACGAGTCTAGGAGTCTTCAAACTGTTAAATTCACTTTTCTCAAACTTACTTTTTGTGACATTCATCTTTTTTTCCCCCGTATCCTTCACTCTATAATTTATTCCATCTTGTAATAAATGTTATTTTAGCAATTTGTTTTAACACATGTAATACGTGAGTAATGCGTGAGTAATCCATGATATCGCGAAGAAAATGCAGTATCACAGAAATCACAACACGATGTTTAAAACAATGTGTTGTCAAAATGTGCTTGATATACGGCATACTCGATGTATAATCTACTATTTCTTAAAGCTTTGCGCGGTAAGAAAGCTGTATTTTCGAGAAAGGTTTGAGATGCATTTCTATAACTGAATAGACTTACATTTGTCTCCCATATCAAACAAAAATGCGATTCATACATACTTAAACTAGAGACAAAGGTCTATAAATCCCACGCCATTTCATGCATGCACTCCGTAAAAAATGTTTGTTTGTTGAAGATTTATTTAGCATTAATGCTGAAAATTCAATTTGGTATGATTATTCGTTTACACATTTTTTAACCCATTTTCTGTAAGTTTCCATTCTTGTCTATTAAAATTATACCACTATGCATTTTGAGTATTGATAAAGTGATTTTTTAATTTTACCTTAATTTTTAAATTCGAACACTGTTTAATATCATTATTCAATTTATTAAATTCAGATACTCCTTTTTGAAATACAGACTTGCTAGTTATGCTTCTAATACAATTTTGCAGATGAAAATCTATACTGCGTCTAGTTTCGTAGTTATGATAATTAATTTTGTGACGTTCTCTGAATGTGGTTGTAATTAATGATTTTTTAATTTGAATATTCAAATGAAATGAAAACTAAATATTCTATGTTTTTTTTTATATTCAACCACTGTAGTTCTTCTAACATAGATTTAATGTACTATGTACTTTGCCCAGTTACCTAAAGCAACACCACCCTTCTGGTTCAACTGCCTGTTTATAGGAGTATTCTCACTACAGTTCATCTGATTATTTCATGGTGTGTAAAGAGATGACTAAAAAATAATGTTATCCACTTTTTCGTAAAAAAATGCATTATATTGTGTAATTTTTCTTTAATGGTAACTTGTAATAGTACAGCTCTAAAATTGCGTATGAATATTCCACTTTTATATTGAGCGGGTAATTACTTTTCTTGAGTTTTATTTTTATTTAAAAAATCTTTGCCTTTATGAAAACTCGTTTTGCAGCAAATTCAGTTTTTAAGAAAAGTAAAGATTTTATGGAGAACAAAATTAGTAAGAAAAAATGAACCACTCGCTCAATTCCACGAAAAAGTGTAGTGCACACATACAATTTCAGAGCTGTGTTAACTTGTTACGATTGAACAAAAAATGCATACAAAATGCACAAAAGATGCATTTTTGACAAAAGAATTGATAACATCTTTCAGTCATCTCTATACACATGATAAGTATCAATGATACTCCTCCAAACAGGCTGTTAAATAACGTTAAAGAACATTCACTTTTGAGTTAAGCTAAATCTCTGTTATTATGTTTCTTAACCTCCGTATACTTTGATGTGTGACTGGAAAGCATTGCTTTTTGCTCTTATGCATGCAGAGCTAGCAATGTCTGCAGATACATGTAAATCTAGATTTACGGGTATTTACTTTACAATAGTATCAAACATCCAAGAATGAGATCTTTCGGACCTAATCCATCGGATCAGAATCACGTAGCATCATACATTGCTAGTTCTTGCGGTACTAACGCATTATGGATCGTCCTACACCTTGACATCACTTTGCAATATACGGCGTCAAATCCGGGAACTTAAATCCAGCGAAGGGGTCGTATCCCCCTACATTCCCAACACCCTGGTGGTGACCCCTAGGCGGCCGGCCGCCCCTGGTGCTCCTCGTGTGGTGTTGTGGAGGGGGCGGACTCAGACCCCCTACGGCAGAGAATGGTGCTGGAGGACCCCTAAGGAGGAAACCGCACTGGGCAGTACACACTTCGTCATGAAGGATAGCGTCTTTCGACCACTCGCGAAGCAGTTGTCTGCAGTCTGTGATGCGGAGAGATGCACAGTTACCCTGGAATAAAGAGGCATTTAATAGGAAGAAGATGGGTATGCTTATTTTTGCTTATGTATGGTATACATTTTGCAAAACCCAATAGTATCTTCTAAGAGGATCCTCATCAAAATCAGCCAGCTGCTGCAATGCAATTGCAATGAGACATGCTGAACTTTTCAAAAACGTACTCGATTGATAAGGACCATTCAAGGGGGCGAGGTTAGTTCCGCGAAAAAAGGCAAGATTTCTTTGTTAATGCTGATCGACTTAATTAAATACGATACAATAAAATCTGTCATTATCGTTGCTTTTAAGAACAGCACGAATCGAACGGATATTTTTAGCTCCACTTCTTTATATTGGTATTACTTAGGTGATTAATAAGGTTCCTCCCTTTGTCCCAATCGGAATAAATGATGTAGTAGAACCTTGAAGTACTACCAGATAAAATCTAATGTTGTTTTTGCTAACTTCTGTATACTATCAAGAAACATACTCACTGACATTAGAAGTGTTACAGCAAAAAAAAATTCTTCAACTTGTTTTTTATCAACATAATGACTATATTTAAAGCATGCTGTGGCAACAATGACAACGCTTTATCATTGTTTTTGTTTACATTTGTTAAATCTCGTAGTTTTTGTGAAGAAAGCAGTTTCTGAGAGCTGAGTAGTACAGATATTTTTAGTTATTGCCCTTTCATTTTCTGGTGTTAAGCATAACAAAATGCCTCGAGTTCGAAATTATCACCATGCTAGCGCGTTATAGGTCAAGAACCCGAGGCGTCAGCAAGACGACACCGCCAGTCGCAACGACAGCAGAAACCTTTATTAAAACTATTTTTCTTTTTATATTTTAATTCATTATCATTCCAACTTGTAACACGTTCATGTCTACAAAATAAATATTTTTTAAAAACTCCTTGTTGTGGCTGAGAAACATAATTGGCGCTGCGAACAGGATATCTGCACGGCATCCACCCAAGAAGGATCATCGGTTCGTCTTAACGATTTGGCAGATTTCTACCTGGGGTCACGAAGAAACACCGAGAAATTGGAGGACCATACTGGCGATGAAAATCAGTGCGATTCTTCTCATCCTGTAAGTCCATTTCCTTTTCATATGAGTTCTGAGTACCCTCAAGATTCATTTCAAGCTATAGTTAATTTTTCACACAAGTCGCAAAACAAATCTAGATTTCAACCCTACAGTAAACATTCAAAGAGGTCAGAAGACGATATTGTTGATAACCCATCTAATACTTTCGAACAATCTACAAAAATGGTTATATCTAACTCTGATGTTAATAACTTGTGTAATACTCTTCCTGAATTTAAAGTTGGGGATAATCTTTCTACATTTATAAGCTCTGTAGATAATTTAATCACATTTTTCAACCAACAAGGAGCTGATGCAGTACAATTGTATATTATTAATGCACATATTTTATCCAAAGTAAAAGGTGAAGCTCGAGATTTTCTGAACATTCATAATAAAAATTCGTGGCCAGATATTAAACCACTTTTATTACAAAAATACGGTGACCACCGTAATGAAGAAATTTTGTTAACTCAATTAACTACAACTGTTCAGAAACGCTCAGAGACTTACCAAGATTATCATCATCGTATAACCTTGGCACTGAATGACCTTTTACAACATGTTTTATTAAGTGAAAGTAATGCCCAGGCAGTAGAGTTCAAGGCTTCATTTTTCCGGAAACAAGCTCTAAGAACTTTCTGCACAGGCATCAACAACCCTTATTGTGACCATCTTTCTCATTTCGAATTGAATACTTTAGATGATGCTCTCCAAAAGTGTATCTCTCTTGACAATCACAGACAGCAACAACAATACATGTCTTACTTGAAATCCACGAATCACCCCCGCGATTACCAAAAACCTCAACCTCGTCCCAATCCAAACAACTTCAATACTTCGAACAAACCCAATAATCCCAATAACCAATACCATCGTAATTTTAATCAGCCCAATTCGTCTAATCAATCTTTCAACCAAAATTCTATGCACCCTAGACCTTTTGGCGATATAAATAAGCCCATCCAACAGAGACAATCTTTTCCGACAAATCGTCAAGTCTTTGGTCCATCGTCTAGGCCTAATAATTCACAAGACCAACGAAACCAATATAAACCAACTCCCATGTCTGGTATTCATTCCCAGAGATCTTCAAATTCCAAACCTACCCCAATGTCTATGTCCTCTTACCGCACGTTCCATCATAATGTTGAATGTGAACCCGAGTCCCCGCCTAGTTTACCTTATAACGAAGCAGACTGTATACCTGAGACAGATTGCTACGAAAACTTTGATTCTCCTGAGGAAAATTTTCTAGAACCAGCCTCAATGGAACCCGCACCCAACATAGAATCATTCAGTTGAATAATTTTTCCAAAGCAACGAAACTTCCTTACTTCTACCTTCCACATTCCAAATTAAAAGTTCTCATCGACTCCGGTGGCTCTGATACAGTAATTACTCCCAGAGCTGCTCAAAATTTCGACTCGAAATATGAATTCTATGAACCTTTTACCCTCATATCGATGAAAACCCCAAAAACATATACACGCAATCTTTACTACCCTTTGTTCGAAGAAATTGGTATACAGCAAGCCCTTACAATTAGAATTGCCGACTGGCATGACGATTTCGATGTACTTTTAGGTACAGGTGAACTCGATCAACTAGGAGCCAATATTGATTACGAAACACATGTATTTTCTATTCCAAAATTACAGATCTCTATTCCATTTAAGATAATTTACCGTAGTAATAAACGACTACGTATTCCGGTCTCCATTAATAATGGCGAAGTTGTCATTTCTGATATTATACATGAAAATCAAGTAATAGTTCCAGCATCAATTCATGTAGCTGAAGACGGATTCATAGAAATTCCACGTCCCAACAATGTTGAAATCAACTTCTCACAACCAATCTCCGCCACATCCATTTCAGATTTCGAAGAAATCACTCCCCCATCGTCTGGCGACAATTATTTTGATCTTAATTTGTTACGGACAGACCATTTGAATGCAGAAGAGAAAGAAAAGATCCTCCATCTTTGTCATCGATTTAAAGATATTTTTCATACAGAAAATTCTCCTTTAACCGTTACTACTTCTGTAAAACATGTTATTCGAACTAAAGATGAAACACCAATCTTCACCCGCTCTTATCGACACCCAAAATCAATGCTACCTGAAATTTCCGACCAAATCAATAAATTACTACAGAACAATGTCATCCGCCCTTCTATAAGTCCCTACTCAGCCCCTGTATGGATAGTTGCGAAAAAACTTGACGCAAGTGGTAAAAGAAAATTCCGTATGGTCATCGACTATAGACGTCTTAACGAAAACACAATCGAAGATAAATACCCTCTTCCCCGCATTGACGAAATTCTTGACAACCTAGGACGCTGTTCATACTTTACCACCCTTGATTTGGCACAGGGTTTCCACCAAATCGAAGTCCACCCAGATTCTATAGAAAAGACAGCTTTCACAGTTCCTAACGGTCATTTCGAGTACCTTAGAATGCCTTTCGGATTACGAAATGCACCAGCCACTTTCGAGAGAATGATGGATGAAATCCTAAGAGAATTCTTATACAAATCTTGTTTTGTCTATATGGACGACGTCATCATATTTTCCAAATCCCTCCAGGAACATTTAATTCATATTAAACAGATTTTCCAAAAATTCCGAGAAGTTAACCTCAAGATTCAGCCCGATAAATCCGAATTCTTGAGTAAGTCAGTAGCGTTTCTAGGCCACGTCATAACACCTGAAGGCATAAAACCAAATCCTTCAAAAATTTCAGCCATTGAAAACTTTCCTATACCCAAGACGGTGAAAGAAATCAAAAGCTTTCTTGGTCTGGTAGGATACTACCGACGTTTCATTCCGAACTTTTCCAAAATCACATACCCCATGACACGCTGCACTAGAAAAGGTACTAAAATCGATATCGAAGATCCCAGATATATTGAATCTTTCGAGAAATGTAAATCCGCTCTCAGTAACTCCCCTATTCTCCAATACCCTGATTTTTCCCTACCATTTACCCTCACTACAGACGCTTCAAACATAGCGATCGGTTCTGTCCTTACACAGAAAGGAAATCCGATAGCCTATTATTCTCGCACCCTAAATTCAGCAGAGAAAAATTATTCTACAATCGAAAAAGAACTTCTTGCCATACTCGATTCCTGCAAAGTATTCCGCCCCTATGTATATGGTGTAAAATTTACTGTGGAAACAGATCACAACCCCTTAGTCTGGTTATACAAAATTAAGGAACCCAATTCTCGTCTTGTCCGATGGAAACTCAAACTTGAGGAGTACAATTTCGAAATTAAATACAAGAAAGGAAAGGAAAACGTCGTCGCCGATGCTTTAAGTCGCATCGAAATAAATATGCACGAATCCGAGTCTCTGTGTGCCAACCCTCCAGATGATGATGACGACTTTGATGTAGATGACTTCGTTAACCAATCTTTCGAAAAAGAAACTGGTCAATCAACCCAACATTCTTCTCATGAAAATCCCGTTGCTCTCGTCCCATTCTCAGAAGAACCTATTAATCATTTTTCAAATCAGATCATAATAAATCTAGGCACCGATTTTAACACCAAATACCGTCTGAAGTTCAAGTCCAAACACGAATATCTCATCACTCTTTCCGAAAAAGACTGGAAAACCGACATCAAGACTGCTCTCCATCAAACTATAGCCCCCAATCAACGATACTACATTCTGACTGACAATCCCGATATCCAAAAATATATTTCCGACTTCGTCCGTAATACTTATAACCAAAACATCCAAATATTCTTCTGCACCAAACGAGTTCAAGATGTAGAGAGACCCGAAGACCAATTACGACATCTCCAAAATTACCATAAGGAAAATCACAATGGTATTCTCGAAACACTTAGTCATTTAAAATTACACTATTACTGGCCTAATATGCGTTCTACAATTTCAGAGCAT